ACTGTGCTTCGTTAGTGGCTACAGCTCTCAAATGACACATCCAACGTAAGAGGATGCCAATCCCATTTGAAAGTTCTTCGGAATCATTAATGGCCGAAATTTTATTTTTTTGTCGACCGAAACATATACCAATCGATAGAGCTCGTCAAGCTGCATCGAATGAGCTACGTTTTAGATGTGGCTCAGTTCATGGAGTGAATTGTCAAAGGAGATCCATGCCCAAATCCTTGCTACAGGCTTTCGAGAGGCCCCGATTACTGAAATCTCACACCTATGAAAGTGCAACATATACCAATCGATAGAACTCGTCAAGCTGCATCGGATGAGCTAAGTTTCAGATGTGGCTCAGTTCATGGAGCGAATCGTCGGAGGAAAAACCTTTTTTTTGAATTTTTTTCTATATGAAAAAAACAGTTTCTTTGTTTTAATTTCGACTGTTAAGGTTTCAGAAAAACACTGAATATGCCATTCGATAGAGCTCATCGAGCTGCATCTGGCTCGCTGCATCTCTGGTGTGGCTCACTCAATGGGGCGAATCGTTTTGAGAAAAACTCGAATCCGCTGCTAACTTCGCTTACTTTGGGCCAGGTTTTTTTTTCGCCTCTTAATAGCTAAAAAGAAATTTCTTCTTTTTAGGAATGGATAGAGCGTCTTTCGCTCTACTTTTCTATGCTATTTTATCAGTATCTAACCAAGATCATAGTATTAAAATTCCAACAAAACCTTTTGTTGTGCACCTCTAGACTCTAAAAAAAATCGGTTTTTTACAGAACTTTAATAGTTCTGTAGTTTTGCACCGAACTATTTTAAGTTCCGAAGAGCTCATATCGTTTCGTAATTCGGTTTCAGAACTATTTTAAGTTCAGTAGATTTATCGTGGTTTTGAGATTTATCTGCGGAACTTCTTATATGATCTGAAAAGCTCCCTGTGGTTTTGTAGATCATATACCAAACCTACGAGAATTCGGTGGAACAGTAGAAAGTTTTGCAAGATTCTTACAGAACCCTTAGTAGCTTTGGAACCTGTTAAATGGTTTGGAATATTTTATACAGAACTGCTGATGGTTTGGCGAAAGATGCAAAGGTTTTGTATTATTTATACGGAACTTTTCTCTATTACCTAAACTGCTTCAAATTTTGGCATATTTTATACGAAACGAAGGAGGGATTGGTACACTCTCAAGAGGTTCGGAATATTTATACAGAACTGCTGATGGTTTCGTGAAAGATGGCAAGGTTTTTCATTATTCGAGCGAAACATTTTTCTAATGTCTAAGCCACTCTATGGTTTGGTTTATACTATACGAAGCGAGGAATGGCTTTCCAGATTATCTGAAGGTTTTGCAGTTTCCTTATAAAAACTTTGCATCGTTTCAATAATAGTAATAACTTTTGTACGCTGCGTACGAAAGTTTATGCGATTTAGAGCAGTATCGAGAGTCATTGTGCTTTCTCCTAATCACGAAGGCCTCGTTATTACTTTCAGTGTGGTCTTATTTAAGAATTTTTATATACACAGTTATGAATAGGCTCTTCCAAAGTGAAACATATGCAATCATAAGGATCAGGGACGAGGTTCTGACAAACGTTTGTGCAGATGATTACTTCTAGACAACAAATCTAAATAACCATCAAACCATGGGAGGATTGGACAAAGCCTACAGAAAAGCTACTTAGTGCAACCTCTATGGGGCAAAAATTCTGAACTCACATATGTTTTGTTAACTAACATCAGTTCTTATCTTTCTTTTTAATATAAGAACAATGTTTCATTTTTCGAAAACACATTGTATCAGTAAAAGAGGCTTTTCCAATATTCGAGTGCTGTAACGCTAGCGTCTGTAACGGTGAAGACTGTAATACACACGGAAGCAATTATGGCGTAATTAAGGGGGATGCGCATGTCTGTAATGGTGAACGGCGGGGAACGAGAAAATCTAACTCTATAACTTACACTCGTTATTTTCTTCGAAAATAAATGTGAGTTCCACAAAACACGTTGGTTACTTAGGAAATCAATACATAGTTAACATAATGAAGCGAGTTGCGTCACCAAAATATTCAGTAGGCAAGGAAATAAAAAATACTTGTTTCCAATTAAAAGTGGATCTAGTTGTCAACGGATTACGACACACTCGAAGAGACTGAAACAGCCGAACAAACGACTAAAAATCAAATCATAGATATAAAAAATGAATCAACAACTTCATAACAGGCAAACATGAAAACTTGTTGAACAAACGAATTCCATATTGAATAGAGCCACTGGGAAACACAAGTTCACTAGTATCCTGTTTCAATATAAATCATATTTCTCGATTTTCATTTTTAATTTAGTTAAGTTTGACCTTTCGTAATAAAAAATATTATTTAGTTTTTTCTTTTATACTGATATAGATATGCATGTTTAAGTAAGTTTCAAAGTTTACAAGATATTATATTACTGTTCTTTTTGTTTAGGGCTCAACATGATATACAAATTTAGGTAAGTTTGAACTTTGATAATAATAAATGTTATTAGGTTTTTTCTTTTAGTTTGATCAAGATGTCCATGTTTAATAAGTTTGAAAGCTTATAATATAATAAATAATTATTCTTTTTCTTTTAGGTTCATCGTGATATACACATTTAGGTAAGTTCCAAGTTTCATATTTAAAAAATATCATTTACTTTTTTTCTTTTAGGTTCATCAAGATGTGCGTATTTCAGTAAGTTTCAAACTTTGCAATATAAAAATTTATTTTTCTTTTTTGTTTTAGGTTCACCATGAGATACAGATTTAGATAAGTTTGAACTTTCGTAATAAAAAATGTTATTTAGTTTTTTCTTTTAGGTTGATATAGATATGTATGTTTAAGTAAGTTTCAAAGTTTACAATATTAAAATTTATTATTTGTTTTGTTTTGGGTTCAACATGATATACAAATTTAGGTAAGTTTGAACTTTGATAATAAAAACAATTATTTAGTTTTTTTCTTTTAGGTTGATCAAGATCTGCATTTTTAAGTAAGTTTGAAAGCTTATAATACAATAAATTATTATTCTTTTTCTTTTAGGTTCATCGTGATATACACATTCAGGTAAGTCTGAACTATCATGATAAAACTTATTAATTCTTTTTTTCTTTTAGGTTCATCAAGATGTGCGTATTTCAGTAAGTTTCGAAGTTTATAATAGATTGTACTATTATTCTTTTTTTTTTATGCGCTCATCGTGATATAGACATTGAGGTAAGTCTGAACTTTTATAATGAAAAATATTGTTTAGTTTTTTCTTTTAGGTTGATATGGTTATGAATGTGTAAGTAAGTTTCAAAGTTTACAATATTAAAGTGTTTTATTTGTTTTGTTTTAGGTTCAACATGTTATAGAAATTTAGGTAAATTTGAACTTTCATAATAAAAAAATCATTTAGCTTTTTTTAGATTTGATCAATATGTGTATGTTTAAGTAAATTTCATACTTTAGAAAATAAACTCTTATTATTCTTTTTTGTTAGATTCACCATGATATACACATTTTGGTAGGTTTCAACTTTCATAATAATAAATGTTATTAGGTTTTTTCTTTTAGGTTGATAAAGATCTGCATTTTTAAGTAAGTTTGAAAGCTTATAATATAATAAATTATTATGCTTTTTCTTTTAGGTTCATCGTGTTATATACATTTAGCTAAGTTCCAAGTTTCATATTAAAAAAATATTGCTTGCTGTTTTCTTTTAGGTTCATAAAGATGTGCATGGTTAAGTAAATTTGAAAGTTTACAATATAATATTTTGATATTATGTTTGTTTTAGGTTCATCAGAATATTAATATTCAGGTATGTTGAATCTTAGTTAATAGAAGGACTTTTTTATTTTGTTTATTCTAGGTCGAGGCGTGCGTCCGAATCGTACAGTAAGTTTTATCTCTTTAGATTCCTCTCGTTGATTTATTTGTATGCTTTAAGTTGTTTGTCATATGGAAATCGTCGTTTGTGATGATCTTTACTTCTGATGGCATCCATGATATTTATGCCATTTCCAGTGTTTCTGTAAAAGACGAGGACGTTGTGTATCAAATGAATCAATTGCATGTGGGGATTAGTCTTATTGTATTTTTGCTTTATGGATGTAGGAAGATACTCGATGGATTATTTTCATTTGCGTTTGATTGGTTTGATGTACGAAATCCTTGGGTTTTGCTAAATTCTGGAAATCTCAAGCATGCCACCGACGATATGACTGGGTTGTGTGATTTTTTGGTTGTTGAAGTAAGTATTTAGGTTTTGTACGGATAGTATCGTACGAAGGAACGGGTAAATTCAGGCACCCAGTACCTCAGCACCTATTCGGCACCTACAGCACCTGTTCGGCACCTATACCGAATTTAGTGTTTAGAATTTTATTACAAGGTCCTGAAAAAGTACTTAAGATAATGGAAGAGTGATTGAAGGAGCCGTAGGTTCTCATAGTGAAATTCGGTATAGGTGCCGAACAGGTGCTGTAGGTGCTGATAGGTGCCGAATAGGTGCTGAGGTACTGAGGTGCTGGATGCCTGCATTTTCCCCTTTGGTACGATGCCTTTTATAGCGATTGCTAATAAAAGCTGGGTACGGAACTCTCGGTACGAAACCTTATTTTTCTGCTGCTGGAAATGGTTTTGCAACGAACTTTCCCTTCGAAACCTTTTTTTTCCAATTTTAAGAAAAGGTTTTATACGAAACCTTTGATACAGAACCTTTATTCCGGTTGTTAAATTATGGTTCAGTGCGGAACCATTGCTGCGGAACCATTGCTGCGGAACCTGTATTTCAGTTTTTGAGATTTGGTTTTATGCCGAACCTCCCTTTTTACAAGACCTAAAAAGGATCTTACCATGTATCCAGGATAAGATCCTTTTTAGGTTCGGTAAAAAACCTATTTTTTTTAGTGTGTAGTTTGTGATGATAGTCAAGAATTATGTATGTTTGGCAATTGTAGTCAATGTTCGAATAACTTTAAAATGAAAATTCAAGATCAAATGATTGATCCATTTGTAATTATTAAATGGTCGTTATGGTCAACATCAAAAGAAGGTCGAACAGTTAAAATTGATCATGAAGGAACAGTTCAAAATTGTATTCATATTTTACAAACTAAAATCAATCATTTTTTGTTTCATGTCTTTATTAAAAGACAACAATCTAATTTCTTTGAAATGTTGAAGAAAGATGTTACTGACGAAAAATGTTTACTTCAACTCGATTATGCCGAAAATTATTCTATTATCGAACAAAACCAAATACAAAGTGCTCACTGGAGCCGAAAGCAATTATCGATTTTCACTGCACACGTTTGGTCTCAATCAAAAACATATCCACTAGTAATAATATCTGATGATTCATCACACGACAAATACACAGTTGCAAAATGTCTTGAACATTTACTGGAACGTTCAAAAATATTGTTACCTTCAATGAAAGAGTTAATAATTTTTAGTGATGGTAGTGCTTGTCAATTCAAGGAACGTTTCTTGTTCAAGAATTTGACGCATTTGGCTGATCAATTTTCTCTAAAGTTATCATGGAACTTTTTCGCGAGTCATCACGGTAAAGGTAAGTAAGACTAAAGAATATGTATAAACAAATCTTTATGAAACGAACGTATCGCAAGGATATTCGATTTGACTAGAAATAGTATTGATTCAACATAGTAGATAAAAAAAGATTAGTCGTTGATGATCGGTCTTGGGGTAGTGGATGGAGTTGGTGGATCAGTGAAAAGAATGGTATATCAAGACGTACTGGTTGGTAAACGATGTAGAAATGCAAATGATTTTTTACATCTAATTAAACAAAAAAATACTTCAATTGTAATCGATGAATTATCACCAGATGAAATTGAACATGGTCGTGATGGTCTTGGATTGATTTTTAATCAAGTGAACGCAGTACCAAATATCCAAAAAGTACATTCAATGACTGTTGTGGATATTGATAAAATTGAATGTAAAATTTATCCTTACAGTGATAAAAAGACAATAGTAACTTTTTAATAATTTTTGAATTTGTTGATATTGCATTTATATGATATATTAGAACCTGTGTTTGTAGGATTTTCTTTATGGTAACAAAAATTTAATTACTTGAATTAAAAAAACATCGCTTTATTCTCTTTGAGCAAAAAATCAATGATTTTGTGCACCAATAATTTAAACTTCAAGCTATTAAACCTTCTGCATTCAAATCGCAAAAATAGGTGAAATTTCGTAACGCTCAGCCTTTTAAGTCGTCTTATTTAAAGGAAATGTCCTACAGAAAAAACGACATGATATTCTAAGAGCTTGTGAAAAACTGAACAACTTTTGTATAGAACGTTTATTCATGAGTTGCTTAGTTTCGAAGAAAAATACTAAAATCTGAGTCTTCCCTCAAAATTTTGTCCATTTTTTGAAATTCCGTAACGAACGATGTTTTTCGAATAACTCCGTAATGGCTTGCGACAACCCAGTGAAATTTTTAGTGCTAGTAGGGCTAGTTAATCTACATAGATGCCCAAAATTTCAGAAACATCTCTCTTGTTATTGAGGAGATATATGTCTCGCAAGTTTAAAAAATGAAATTCCGTAACGCTTGGCTGTGCCGAAATTCTTTTTTTTGGAATATCTTCACTACTAAGATAAAAATTATCATCAATAACAATTTGTTGAGATTTAACATATTTAATTATATCAAATATTTTATCATTTGAATTAAATTCTTTTTCTAAACGTCTTTCATCATTTAAACGAATAGTAAATAATATTATATCATTTTTATTTATTTGTCTATATCTTGGAGTTTTATTTAAATTTTTTGAATTTGGTGGATTAGGTATATATTCATTTGAATTTCCTTCAATACGAGGTAATTTTTCGAATAGTATTAAACGAGATGTTATTATTACTCGGTGATCTCTACATGTGTATATATATATATATATATATATTTCATTCATTTATTTAATAAAATAAACATATCTATTTGATGGTGAATTAGATTTATAATATTCAATTGACATTTTTATTTTGAAGAATAAAATAAATCAAAAGTAACTTATTTATTTCAAAAATCAAATGACCATGGAACAATCTGTTAACATGACAACCTCATACATATATATTTAATTGTTGTCGAATATCGATAGATGTTAGTTTAATCCTTTCTCTCTCTCTCTCTCTTTATATAAATAGATATTGAAAATTTATTTCATAAACGATAAGAAAAAAATAAAATAAAAATGGGTAAATCAACTGATCAGATAATTCTAAATAGATTAATTTAATAAAATAAATATTAAAAATAAAATGTTAAAAAAAAAAACAAAAATTGTTATATTTAGTGATAATGATAATGATAGTCTTGAATTAATTGATCCAGTTAAAAATTGATCACTTGAACATATTGATAAAAAAAATTAATTTAAAGATTCAAATAAGTTATTTAACAAAAAAAATGAAAAATATTTATTTATTTATTTTAATTTTAATAAAAGAAAAAAAGTAGAAAAAATCAATTTAAATGGTTCAAATAACAAAAAAAAGATAAAAATTCATTTAAAACAATGAAAAAACTCATGTAAATGTCGTCATCATCGACATATTCATAGGTATCTTTTTTTTTTGATTTATTAATAAGAAGAATTTTTTTAAATTCTTTTATAAATTAAAATTTATTTAGAAACAAATCAAAATCAATAAATGAACTTCGTTTTTTTTATTATTTCTAATTTTTTTATTTTTAAATAATTAGAAAATA